TTCGGGAGTGTATGTTTCGTTATTCCAGTGAATCATTGGGCCACCCTAACCGCACGGCCTCTCGGCGATTGTCGCACGGCCTTGTGACCGGATTAGGCAGTTGCGACACGAGAGACTTCGGGTCTAGGCAATTTTATTAGCAAATCGATGTACCTATTGTACCGACGTTTGCCGCACCATTAAACGCGTAAGACTCGTGATGTAGTAACGCGCGCGCGAAAACGCTGTCCGTCAACGCCGTCTGTCAACGCCGTCAACGCCATCCGTGCCGATATCCCCAAAGCCGTATTTAACGCCTAATTTGAAGCCTTTGCAATGGACTCAACGATACTGTCTACCGAGATGGCTGCACCTTCGACTTAGGGCCGTTTGAGAGCTCGGAGACCGCGATTGAAGCTATTCAGGCCCTCGCGAGAGACGAAGGCTACGCTATAGTCAAAGTCAGATCCTCCAATAAGCGTATGGGTATTCCTCACCGTTGGGACCTCGCTTGCGCCCGTGGACCTACCCATCATGTGTCTATTGCAGCAAGGCTCCGCGAGGCAGGCACGAGGAAAGCCGGCTGCCCGTTTAAGGTCAAGATAGTGCAAATGTCTACACTTGTATCAATTGACGCGCCGGTCGGCTTGTCGCACGATACTTCTTTTCGTAGGCAAATTACAGGCAAATTGGAGGGCCACAGACAGGGATTTGACTTGCCTAATCCGGTCACAAGGCCGTGCGACAATCGCCGAGAGGCCGTGCGGTTAGGGTGGCCCGAATCATTGCTCATGCACAGAGACTTAAACCCCATTAGGAAGGAGGACCCGCCACCACAATTTGGCGCGCGCGTTCCCCAACGCGGCCGCCGCGTCCGCCCGCCCGATTACTGTAGGAGGTGGGAGCTTGCGAGTTCCAATTACAGACAGACAAAGGTGCATGGCGTTCCATGAAAAAGACAAATGAATCCCCTAGTACACACAAGCGGCGGCAGGCGCGGCGCTCCCACCCCATCGTTGGGACTCGGGAACGTTCGCGCGCGCCAATTTTAGTCGGGGGGCTTCTTCCAAAAATGTGAAGTTGCCGTGCATGATTCAGTTGAAGCGCGGGAAACGGCCCACTATTTCTTTAGTCACTCGGATTTAACTACCCCCCATCTTTTTGTCCAATCCCCCCGCCGCCACCGTCGCACCCAAGCAACAGTGGGGACTTGTAGGCCCACATCTCAAAAAAAAATGGTACTATTTGTCAGCTGATGTGTGTACCTGGTCCATGCATGTGGCCATGGAACACGACACGTGGATCCAATGACGACTTGCGGATGTCTCACACCCTCCATCGCCAGGACACTCTCTACTTGGGGACTAAAATCCGTCGATTCCCGCGCATGTCAAGTCATGCACGGGGTGCGTTGAGTAGCAAAAGTCCGTTGATTCGCCAAAAGAGTACATAGCGGCCCCGCCAATTAACTAGTAGGATTATGTACCTAATTTCCCCCCATGCATGACTTGACATGCGCGGGAATCGGGACGGATTTTAGTCCCCCCAAGTAGGCCCTGACCTGGAACTTCCTTCTACTCGTCCCACAGACCCACGTAAAGTGGGTCCTCACCACCTGTCTGTGTCAACCACCTGGCTGTGTCACTTTACGGCTTCAACGCCAACTTAATTTAATAATAAAACGGCAAAAAATGTTAAAAATTGATGCATACTGTCGGGAGGTCTGTACTGCAGTAACGCAATGGGTTGTATTCAAGATGTCTAGCTAGGAAGGGAGGAAAGGGAATGAGGGGGCACACTACGTGCCCTTTATACACGGATCCCGAGGTCCATACACGTGACGCTAAGGGTCACGTGTACGTGTGTGCGCACCTCCCTTACAATCCTACTATAGCTATATGCTACATTCCCACACTGGCAAATCTTCTTTTATCGCAGCAATCGCAGCAGTAGCAGCAGGAGTAACGAAACATGCACGGACGATTTCGAAACATGCACGGAGACTTAAACCCCATTTGGAAGAGTAGGCGCGCACCACAATTTGGCGCGCGCGTTCCCAACGCCGTGGCCGCCTCGTCGCGCCCGCCCTATTACTCGACTATGTACCGGTACGGAGGATGCATTCAATATTGCAAAGATCACCAACGCCAGAAGATGCGTCCCTTGGAGTCGTTCAATTGAAGCTATCACTAAGCCCGGCCCGACCGATTCCGATGTGTATGCAATATGCACACAGCAGTGGAAGGTGCATTTTGGCCGCCTTGCCTACCTCTGTGACTGTGACTGTGACTGTGAGGAAGGATCCGTCCGACGCGGCGGAGGGCGAGGCACATAGGGAACGAATTTGGGGACGGCCCGCTCGCTGGAATTGCATGGTGCCGTGTCCGTCTGATCCCCTGGCTGCTGGAAATGCTCCGTAGCCGTCTCGTGAGACTGTGCCGGCGGCTGTGCCCACATGAAGCCGTCGTGATGTGCCTGTGTCGAGGGAGGCGGTTCTTGCCACCGTGACGGCGCCGGGGCCTGTACGTATACAGGCACAAGTGATGTAGGCGGGGGGATCACAGAGTATCCTGTGATGCCGGCGGCGCCTGTGGAAGTGAGGGTACCTGTGATAACGGTACTGGCGTTGCTGCTGCTTGCGACTTGATGAAATCACCGATCTGCTGAGCAAGATCGTCAACCCGGCTGCTCACGGAAGCAAGCGTATTCGACCTCTTGTTTACGACAGTAGCGCCCGTGCCCTTCCTCTTCCTTTGTGTCCCTGGTGGCCGTGACTCGAGATCGGATTTAGCTCTCTGCTCCTCTTGCTCCCAAGCACTAAGGATCCGGCCCGTGGACAGGGATGGACATCTTACGAACGGGAATCGAATCGATAGATTCATTCGATGCCAAGTCTTACGAATATCGAATCGAATTTCTTGGCGTTCGATTCGATGTCGAATCTGTCATGGTCCCATTCGATTCGCATCGAATCGAACGCGGTGTACCTCATTCGACATTCGACAGCATCGAATCGAACGTGGCGTTTTTCATTCGACAGACGAATCGAACAGGGTCACATTTTGGTCGCCATCGAATCGAACGGCTCCCAGGCGTTCGACCGGATTCGATCGATTCGATCGAATGAGTGACGCGGTTCGCGGAAATCACCGCGGGGAACCTTTAAGCGCGTCTTCTCAGACGCGTCAGTCAGCCCTGTTGGTGGCTGACGCAACCAAGCGTGATTTAGCGTCTATCGACCCAAACCAGGTCAAGGCGTTAAGACATGTTGGTATGTACAGCCAAACCCCATAAATACGTGACATAATTAGTATCTTGAAACTCCAGCAAACATGCTCTGCGGAAACCCATTGATGGCTGCTCTATAAGATCACGACGAAGCTCTACAGTGTACGGCTATCATAAGCTCTATGGCGACGTTGCATACGTGCGGTATGTTGGAACGAAATCTCGGTCATCAGGTGGGATTGATGCCATAGGCGCCAGAGATAAGATAAGATGTGTGTGTGTGTTGTATTTTTCGTCCAGCGGCCTTTAGGCCGCTCAGGTCGAGACGGGGCACAGGACGTGCTGAGCTAGACTATCTAGAATTCCTGCCACCGAAAGGCCACCCACCAGGGCCCCGCGGCCAGTCCTCCCAGATGTCCATCCAGCATTTCATAGGCTCTTTGGCGCTCCTTGTCGAAGCCTGTCTCCCGTCAGCGGGACTTCCAGGCGCGTGGCAATCGCCACAATGGTCAACCCTTGGTTTTTCCGGTCAGAATTCTCTCGCCCTTTGCTAAGGCTGCTGTCGCAGTCCATGCTCCAGTAACCAAGCGATGGAAATAGCGAGGAGCGGCGGCAGGGAAAAACCCTCAGAAGGAATCAGAGGCTGTCGCGCAGCTTGCCTTCAGGGAGAAAAACCTCCGCGACCGGCCACCGTTGTTTAGAAGGGCGGACCTTCCAATACCCACAGCTCCTTGGTTCCGAAGAGAGCCATGAGGTCCGAGTGGACGTGTTGTCGAGACCGGCTTCGCAGAGGAATATGAACTCTCCTAAGGTCTTCCTCTGTGTTGTTAGGGTCACGATGGACCCCGCAGCTGAAGCGCGGTCGGGTCGCCTGCAAATCTGGCCCCAGCTAGCAAGCCGCTAACAGCCCTCCAGGGGACAGAATTTTTACAGGGGAGAGTTGTGGATAAGATAAGATTTCGATTGTCTGACCAGGGTATAGGGTAGGTTTACCCGGGCACCCGGTTCCGACGTTGAGTTTACTATACGTGCCCATCCTCTCTGTATTTCGACGGCTGCAAACAAGAAACCGACACATTTAGAGTATCTCTCCCGCAGAACTTGTATATCAGCACCTCAATTACCACAGCTATAATAACATTTCGACGTTGGAATCTCATTTGTGCTACAACTTTGACCGTCTCCTACAGGCCCTCCCAAATGTTCTCAAAATATTCATCGCCTTTTGTCACAGTAACTTCTGCCCAAACCCAACCAGCCTCTAGGCCGATGTACAAGCGACTTCAGAACACTCCCCCAGCTGCACTCAAAGCTCTGACTACCTCAAACGAGCTCAAGGCCGATTCAGATACGAGACGAGAATGGCACGAGAAGGGGGACCAGAGCCAAAGGAAACGACTCGTCACACGCCACGATGATCTGTGCACTAGGACGCAAGCCAATGGGGGCACTGGAAACGCTGATGAACAGGGGATCTATCAGACAAGGTAGCCGGGGTCTTATGGCGCCTTCGATTTAACTGGCTGCAAGCACGGGCGGAGATGCCGTGCCTGACGCTTCGGAAGCCAGTCAAGCAAGCATCAATGCCGGAGGCCAGGGATCTTCGCAGCACCCCACGGTCCATCGTCGTTGTGCATTGGTGACGGAAGCTCTTTTCACTCGTCCAGACCACTTTAGCCAATGCAACGGAGATTGCGCCCCGACGGTTTTTCTTTTCCTTTCTTTTTTCCCCTTCCCGCGTCTACACGCGCGTGGGACGCGTTATGCCTGCTTCGCCGAGCTTCGCTGCCACGATGTGGCATGAGTTGAGCGCCGGCGAAGCCTCGATGGCTTCTACCTTCATTTGTCGGCCCGCTCGCTCAATTCGCACGATCGAACCAACGTTACGATGTCATCCGAACCACTGTCAAGCCCTTCCCGTCGAACCGGTCAGATCTGATTGGGCGTGTGGAGTACTCGTCTTTACCACCCGCATCATCCCAAGGAACCTCGTTGCCGACGACTCCATCACCTCGTCCTCGCGGTACTGCTGTCGACTTTATACAAGTAGATTGGACGCTCTGGGGCCGCCAAGAGTGGGCGAAATGGCCTGGATTCGAGCGCTATACTGGCGGCCAGGATACGAGGGCGTGGTGGCAGCAATACGGGTATCGTGTTGAGGACCGGTCCACCTCGCGCCAGGGCAACAGGCTGAAGTGGATCTGCGCGGATTGCTTCGCCCGAGGCTTCAAGAAGAAGTCAGACTTCTGCTTCGTCTGCTCAACAGGAGCCGCTACCAAGAAGCACCTTCGTAACGCCCACGGAATTCTGGTAAGTGTGTGCCGTTCGGAGATATACCAGCAACATGAGTGTTCACTTGGCAGGCCCCACACGACGTTGCCGGAGGCGTGCGAGCCTCATCTCTAGATGGCCGGCCCATCACCCACTTCATTGGTGCCGACTTCAATAATCCGCACGACCAGTTCCTTGTCAGCAAGCTGCGTGGAAGATTCAACAGCAAGGCTCCGGGTGCTCCTACTCGACTGGATCACGTACCATAATCTGCCATTCGATATCGTCAACACCGAGAGGTTCCAACGGCTCCTTCTCTACGGCAATCTGCTCCTTGATGCGACCCATATACCCTCTGGGAAGACGCTACTTCGCATGCTCGAATCTGAATACAGAGGTGCCGTCGGGCCCGTAACGGAAGTACTTCGCACCGCTCGATCACAGGTTCACTTCTCCTTCGACGGCTGGTCATCCAAGTCCTACACCGCATTTCTGGGCATCAATGCTCAATTCATTGATCACGACTTTGCCCAACACCGCATCCTCCTTGGGCTGCGACCTCTCTCGGCAAACACAACGGTGCGTCGCTTGCCGACGAGGTCGCCGATACACTGGCATTCTGGCAAGTCAACAACCCAGACACGGTCGGCTACTTCACGCTGGACAATGCTGCCAACAATGACACCTGCATGGAAGACCTTGCCTTTGAGCACGGCTTCTCACCCGAAGAGCGACGGATCCGCTGCGCTGCACATATCCTCAACCTCTGTGTGCGGGCAATGCTGTACGGTTCGAAGCAAGAGAATTTTGCTGCAATTGTTGCTGCCGATGGGGACGATCTAGATGACGACGAGGAGCAAGTTGATCAAGCTATCGACGAGGCCCTAAATGGAGAGATGAAGGACGGTACGGACGAAGACCCAGGAGCAAACACTGCCGTTGACATCCCAGAAGAGGACCTCACATCGTCTCACCCGGCTCCGGACGAGATCAATGCTGCCAGCTTCAGGGAGTACAGTCAGAACGGCGCCCCCGGAATGCTTCATAACATCGGTCTTCAGCTGCGAAACACACAGCTGTACGAACATTTTCTTCAGTCTCAACGTAAGGAATCCGGCCACGGAACAACACTTCACTGGGCCTTCAACAATGCCACCCGGTAGAACCTTGGACATGCGTATGATGGAACGGGCTCTTCGACTCCGCCCGGCGCTCAATACCTTCCTCAATGACGTTCAGAACCGGTGGGAAACGGAGGCCTCTGTGACAGAACGAAGCAGGCAGTTCTGCAGTACCGCTTAAGTGCGTACGACTGGAAAGTTATCGAGGTACTTGTCAAGCTTCTGAAGCCGTTCGAGATTTCCACCAAGCAACTTCAGGGCAGTGGTGTTCCCGGCGGTAGGTCCACATGTGGCAGTTTCGATGAATACTTCCCCGTCTTTGAGATTTTGCTTGACCACCTCGAAAGTGCTATCGAAGGCACAATCTTCGAAGAGGTTGAGGATCCAGTGACTAGGGAGAAGAAGGACGTCGAAGTAGCCATTTATGACGGGCTCGATAGCAGGACCCGCAGGTTGCTCAAGGTCTATATCAAGCTCGGATGGAAGAAGCTGCATAAATATTACAGCCGTCTGACTAGCGCTGCATATGTCGGGGCTGTTGTCTTCAATCCTGCGAAAAGTGGCGCCTTCTCGATCAACTGTGGTCTCGAGTACCCTCTCGGAAGACGAAGAGTTGGCGGTTGGAATACGAAGCAAAGCTCTTGGAGATCTGGGAGAAGTATAGGGAGCGCGACGTTGACAACGAGATCCTCGCTACGTCTGATGAGGCCTCCATGGATTACATTGAGCGGAGACTTGCTAGGACTGTAGCTGCGCCGCCATTCAACCAGGGCTCGTTCGGAGCATCAGGTGCCCGCAAAAGCAACCGAAAGACGAAACCGTCTACGGCGGGAGCGACTGGTGATGACAAATATGCTCGATATTGTGCCGAGGACGTCGTCAACAGCCGCCACTACAGAAGCAGACCGATTGACTGGTGGAAGATCAACCGGAGCCGATATCCGCGACTGTCTCTGATGGCAGTAGACATGCTTACGATTCCATCGACGTCCGCGGAAAGCGAGAGGACGTTTAGCAGCGCAGGACGTATGACGGCACCATTGAGAAGCCGGCTGCGGAGGGAGATCGTAGCGATGGCTCAATGCATTCGATCGTGGAGTAAAGCTGGGATCTACAGGCCTTCACTGCCGCTGTTTAGCCTCAACGAGGATCAATGGATTGATGCTCTTGCGTCGCTGAAGGGGCGGAGTGACATTTAATCAGCTTGACAAGACAGCAATTGACCGTGCTTTCGACGTCTCATCTGCTGCAGCCATGATGTCTTTACACCCCTTGGCACTTCTTAAATCGAGGGATGTAGGAGTCCTCGTGATGGTGACAAAGACATGTATGATGTCGGTGAAACGCACGTTTGGTACCCCAATCTCTGCTGAAGTCCTACGTTCGATCGAATTCGTATCGAATTCGATCGAACCTTGGCATTCGATAGGTATCGAATCTACGGGACACGCGTTCGATTCGAGTCGAATCAAACGGGCAAGAAATTTCACGCGTTCGATTCGATGCGAATCTACTGGGACACATTCGATTCGAGGTCGAATCGAAGGGGCAACAATTTTCACGCATTCGATTCGATGCGAATCTGCTGGAGCCATGTTCGATTCGATGCGAATCTGCAGAGGCCCTATTCGATTCGAACGCCAAGTCTTGGCGTTCGATTCGATAGATTCGTAAGATGTCCGTCCCTGCTCTGGACAGTATGATGAGAGAGCACCAGAGGAAACGGGTAGACAGAGAGATGCAACTATCTGTGGTGACAGACCCCGGTACTGAACGGTCGACGGAGCACCTGGTATTATCCTGAGGGCACTGAATCAGACAGACGGTAATTACATGATTATCACTGTCCGCCCTCTGCCTACGGCTACTATCTTCAATTTAAGCGTCCCAAGTTTGGGCCACACGCAGATGCCGCATTGAGGTCGTGCAAATGCTCACAATAATCCTTTAAAGTTGGAAGCGCGACGCAAAGGTGCCTTCCAAAGCATTAAAGGAGGCCATGCTTTCCGCGTAAATTATCTCGTGCGTAGGATCTTCGGTTCAGTTACACTCTCCTCGACCGAACACCTACATACGTTAGTTCACGGAAATTTCCACCAGTCGTCTGAAAGACATGTCCCAAAGAAAGGCTTCCTCGGACTCGCAGAAGGGTTCGCTAAGGACAACCGGCTCGTCTCTCCCTAATATCTACGCTGTAGACAGTGTCCAGACGTCCAGACATGCTCAATTTACCTCCGCAAATGAAGTATCAATCGGATTCCAAACTCTGGGGGGCCACGAGCTCGCCGCGAACGACTACAGTTCTGATGGCAGTGAAAGCGGCGAGCCGAGCATGAAGTGGCGGTTGTTCCAGCGTACGACACCCCAACCTAGGGAAGGCAGCGACAATCACTCATCACGCTTATGGTGGAGAGTGCAAGAAAGCAACAGTCAATCTCAGACAGGGGATTTAGCGAGGAGCCTCGATTCAATTTTCTACATGCTCAAGTCATATGCGACCGCGGAAAACCCGGGCAGTTCTATCGCCACGAACGACTCGCCGCAGTATGCTCACGGCCGAGTTGACCAACTCACTTAGAATTGGACTCGTGTTGGAAAGGCAACAGGGGGGACTCACAACCGACGCCGTCTTGGATCATCGACACGCATCGCATGATTCGGTGGCCCGAGGGCAACTCCCCGACAAGTCTCGCATGAAGGCGAGCGAGGATGCAAATGCCAGCTTGTGGAACCAACGTTTCCTGGAGGATGTATCTAGAGACTACTACCATTCTAAGGGCTGGTGAAGATAGGAGAATTCAACACTCCTCTACGACCAGTCGCTTGCTCCTCCGAAATTTGTGAATCCGCTGTCGCTTGTGCTTTTTTCCATGACTTTGCCATCTTCGCCCAGGCGATCGACATTCTGTATCCACACTTCCGATTATCTCGTCATGGTCGCTTCGCTCGTATTGCCTGGTGTGTCGTGACGAGCCCGAAGGAGAAGACTGAGAAAGGCTGATAGTAATTCTAACAGGCTTGCAGAGAGGGAGGTCAAGTTCCATCTCAACCTGTTTGTCTTGTCCGTTCTCGACGGTACCGCTGGCCTCTACTCGATGGCAAGTATCGGATACAGTGACTCGAAAAACAAGCCCAGTAGGAGGACGATTCTCCTTGTCATCGCCGTAAGAGGAAGAGTAATCACTCTCTTCGAGATCGCTAGGTGCAAACAAAGGCTGTGTCTTTGGTGTAGGTGACACTGCAATCTCGTCTTGCAGATATTTGTCTCGACAGCTTGTGCCGTTGAACTGACTTTCGGTATCCGAGAATTCTGATGTGGGCAAGGCAGGACAAAGAAGCATATCGAGAGCACGAAGATGACCAGTTTGTCCACAGGCAATCGATTCAGTGGAACTTATATTCCCCTGCATTGTCGAGGTAGAGTCAGTCGACATGGCGGGAAGGAGGGCCTTGTTGGCTTTCAGAGAGGTGCAAGAAAATGGGAGGTATGGAAACCGGGACAAAGGGGGGTGGTGCCTACCTCCTTCACTTTCTACACGAGTATGAGACGGGCTGCCTTGGTCGGGATGAGAGCTCCAGCGAATCATCCAGAGAATCCCCAAGGCGCAGCTTTGGCCATCTCACCGCACATATCGTCGGGTGGGATCATGCGCCTTCCTCCACTTCCGGGCTGTGGTCCGTTGTTGCTTCGCTGACGCCTGCCGGCCACCCCTGAGATGGTTTATGCGTCTTTGACCAGGTTCAGCTTCTGCATCTATGCGCCGATCACATCCGCTAATGCTGCAAAATTACGAGGAGCCAACTTCTCTGTAGGCGCAGGGGGGCGAACCGAATCGTGCAGACTATTCCGCAGCCTCCCCTGCGCCGGGGCTCAGGGAGGGAACGGGAGGCAGGACTTGTCCGTTAATTTCTCTTCCCTCGTCGTTGACCCAATGTATGACAATGTACATGTGCATGCCTGGGAAGTGTCGGGGTGGCGAAGCTTGCAGCGGAGGGAGCCTGATGCGTTTTGCGTGTCCCTACGCACACTGGGGCGTTGGGCACGGCACCAAGCATCAGGACACCGGCTGCCGCACGCACAGCCATGTGAACAGGCAGCCATGTGAACAGGCAGCCGTGTGAACAGGCAGCCGTGTGGACAGGCAGCCGTGTGAGACAGGCATCCGTATGTGGCTGCCTTGTAAACCGGCCGGATCACCTAGATAGTCCGACCTGGCTGCCTCCTACATAAGGATGAGGCAGTCATAGCTTAGTTGGAGAGATAAGAATCCCACTTCATCTCATCCATATGCAAAATGCATCAGAGCCTCGCGACAAGGGAGGAGGGCTGCCCACGTCGGCATCAACTTCGGGAAGAAGACGGCGACCTTCGCGAGACCTACATTTCTATCTAACGAGGTAGCAATACTTCGCAATATATGAAAATTAGCCGGAAGTCCAAAGGAGCGGCTCTAGAGAGCCGTCAGGGACACCCCTTAGGGTGGGAAAACGAGACATCGCGATGTTTATACACTCAGCTTGTTAGACGCCACCATAGACTGCTGGTTTGTATGATTACCTGTCCGGCTTTCACGTCGTGTTTCCCAGCTCTGCTACCAACTCCGTCTTCCATTCATACCTTGACTCAACACTCGACTTCTAGGTCGTGAGTATCTTGCGGTACTTACGTCTTACACGCTACCTATAGGCACATGCGAGAGCTTGTGGTAGCGAATCTAATCGAGACAATGTCACAACCTCAGCGTCATCTTTTCGACTCCTACGCAAGTGCGAAAGGCTCTCCGGCCCAACAACAACCCAACCTATACGCCGAAGCCACGACAGCTGCTCCAAAGCCCGAGCGCCAGGACGATAGTAAGAACGGCTTCGTGATATTTCATGGCGCCAGCGAACCTTTGGCTGATGTGAATGATACAGGAGACTCGGGTAACGCTGCGGGCGAGTCGAACAATGGGACTGAGCGCAAGCCCAAGACGGCACAGATCGAAGAGGCCATGAAATCTCAATCCAAGGGCCTCCGTCAGACATCCAGTCGTTTACCCGGCACACATACTGAGGTCCCTACCGTCGCCTTCCAAACAATTATCTTTGGTATCATGCGGCAACTTTTCAAAGAGATTGAAGAGAATTCAGAGAGAGCACGCGTATTTGCGCAAGCGTGCTCATCAACACTATCACCTCGAGATCTCCAGGCGATTGCACAATTCCAAGGACAGCTTGGATCCTCAGACACACTCGGAGGAGACCCTCCATACCCTGTGGCCGAGAACATGGAGATTTCTCGTCGGTATGTCCTCTACGAGGGCGGCTGTTTTGATCGCGAGGGGACGGAGAACGCATTTGTAAGTTCTCCCAGAAGCAACCTTGATTGGGAACTAACCTAAGTAGCGACAGCTTTTTCAAGCTGTTGAGAATATAGCGAAGGAAATGAACCTTGTAAAACTGAAGAGATATGCGAGTGAAAGCTTGAGAGATATAGACGAAGATGCCACGGCGAGAACGAGCATGTAATAATATAAACTCGTCTTCTAACACTGGCTACTGCTACCTTGCGCCGTAGCTACATTGCCGTACGCCGTCGCAGTAGAGAACACTACAAAATAGATCATTGACATTAAAGTTGGAGGTCGCCTGTCTATGACCTCTTTTGCGGAATTCGCGAGGAATCCTGAACCACTAAGCATTCCGCGCCAGACAATGTCACACTCTCCATTGTACTTCGTAAGTCGCTGCCCCTCGATCGGCTGGGGTGGACAGTCAGCGAGGCGCATGAGGACGTGTAGTTATTTGAGACGCCGAAATGCATATCCAACCGTCACCTGTCCAAATATCCGTGAAGGCTGCAAGGGCTGCGCCATGGTTTGCATGCGTCTCGAGTAGGTATAGAAGGATTGGAGCCGCTGGAGCAATTCTTCCATCTCTTCCCCCCAACTCTCTTACACGCTCACAGATATTCTACTTGGAGACGCTTATTTTTACAATCCTTTCCCCGTTCATTAGTCAAGGAGGGTGGCCCCAAACAAGCTTGCAAGCCAAATGTCAACCCTCGCGGTAAGTGACATCAACCCAGGTGATACCGTAGACTGGAAGGGCCTTAACTAACAGCAGAGTCCCTTTCTCTTCTCTGCTCTAGCGCGAGAACAAATTAGCCCGAATTCGAGACAACCAGAGGATATCGCGCGCTCGACGGAGAGTATGTCCAGGACCTCAAACGGCGACTCAGAGAATACGAGACTCAGGGCATCGAGGCCTCTACCGAGGTCCAGATGGCCGCGAGAAGAGTAGCCGAGGAGAACAAGCAGCTCCAGGAGCTCCTCAACAGGCATGGCATTAGCGACGACCAAATAGCCCGTTTCTTGCAGTCGGGCACCTTGCCACTTGATTCCAACCAAGGCCAAACCTTTCACGCCGACGACCCTACTGCCGCTGTCCAGTCGCTGCAACGGCTCCTGATGCCGCGACAACTGGCCAGTCTAGATGAAGACTTCTCCCTATATTTGTCGGGACAGTCGATTCGGAACCCCTCCACCACCGAGGGGTCGACGACAAGTTCGTCCGTCTGGGAGCCGTCGCAGCTCGTGACGTCCTCGTACGGCTATCAACATCACATGGGCGTGGCTACCGCAGTCATGGCATCGGCTGTTCATTCTCCGTATCCACCGACAACCCCATTGAGTCGCGCGAGCACCACGCGACAAGGCTGCGTCTATGGCGGGCAACCGTCCCCTTCGATGCACGACAGTCCCGGCCAAGCCATGGTAACAACACAGCCTACGTCTACTGGCGGCCGTACGGTAATGCACTTGCATTATTCTGTGCCGACTTATCCAAACGCAGTGGTACCGCATTATGATTCCCTAGGGAGCACCTGCTGACACGCGTTGACGAGGGCCTGCAGGGGCGTATCGCCGATTCCATTGGTTGTTTTAAATATATATTGAAAATTGGCACTGTTGGCCATGCCCTTACCGATTCACTAAAGCCTTTTGATATCCATCTGTCGGTGGACCAGGGCAGCCCTGTTAGGGAGGGACCCGGAGAGGGGATTCCTGGCCCATGTAGCAGGAACGCATGAGGACTTCCTGAGTAAGGAAGGCAACCCCTTTATGCGTGGGCACAGCCAAGTATGCATGGGTAGAGCCCCGTACCCAGGAGGTGTCCAGAACTCCCTAAGGCCTCCTGTATAAATAGCCCCTTCAGACTGCCCCTTTAGAGATAGAACATGCATCTTGAATCTAGCTGTGGTGACCCCCTTATTCCGATGTGTATTGACACAACATTTCACCAACACCGTCATATAAGAGTAGAACAGACTTCCTGATTCCCTCTCGAGCTTCTTTGTAGCCCCTGATGTGAGCTCCAGCAAATCATCTCGTGAGTCACAGCAATGCGACTCTAGCCGTCTAGTGGCATCTATCTGCCCGGGTTACTCATGCGCCTTCCTCCTCTGTCGGAACTGTGATCTACTAGTGCTTGGCTGATGCCTGCGAGCCGCCCCTAAGAGAGAATGCCTAGCGATTGGCCTTACTCTTTGGCCACCCTTCCATCAGATAATGCTTGCATCCTTGGCTGGAACACCGTCAGATTCTGCATCTATGCGCCGGTCATCCCCTCTAACGTCATCAGCAAGCCAACTACCAAGCAAGAGTAGGGACAGACTTCCAAAGTGATTAGGTAGTCTTAGGTCAGACTAGCCCACAGGATCCCCGTAGTGAGGGTCAGGGGTGGACCCGAGGCAGGATCACGCGTTGATCTCTACTCCCTCAGCTTAGTCTGAAGCAGGGCAATATAGATTGAAGTAACGGAAAGTGGCGAGGCTTGCAGGGAGGCTGCCTGCGTGGCAAGGGGCGGGATGCTCACGTCGGGATTAACAGCTTCAAGGAGCGGGTCAAGTTGGTGAACAGGTGGTTGCACGACGTGATGGTCACATTGCGTCTCCAATCTGCAAGGCATGGTCGGTCGCGTCTCGGAGAGGATTCGTAGGAAGGGAAGGTCGGCCCCAGGGTCGTGCCGGGAAGCCGGTATGACCAGAGGGCGGTCTGAGGGGCGGTCTCGACTCGGGCTAGAGCCGGCGTAGCTACCCGCTCCGTGGTGTCGTTGGCTGGGATATTTAACGCCGGGGAGAAGGGGGTGTAGGGGGAAAGTTTGCAATGGAGGGGGCGTGGGAGAGGTGCTAGACGATGAGGCCGGATTCTGGCCACTTGATGCACCTCATATTGCCTTGTTGCTCTAGCCTGTAGCATCAGCGAGATATATCCTGCACGGCTGAATGAAAAGAGACGTGTAAGAGGCTGGGGAAGGCGAAATTGACAGGGAAGGATGGCTGCGACGGGAACCGCGTTGCCCATATCGGCACAACGGGAGTAAGAAGTAGTACCTCAATGAGACATGCGTTACATTTGGGACAAGAACTGGGCGTAATGGTTGGAGTTGTTGGTTACTTCCAATCATCCAGCCAGCCCCTGACGACCGTGACGCGCGCACTGCAATACAACCGTGGTTCTCTCCAAGTCAGGGAAGCTTTGCCTCGCCAGCTCTGTTATCATCCACTCGCCATCGATCGCAGGCTTCATTTCCCACCTCCGTTATTTCCAAATTTCACTCTACTATGTGCTATATATTTTGAGCAAAATATGACAACATGGCACGACAAGGACGGCGACAACAAAACGACGGAAGAAAGCCAAAGCGGATGCGGAGCAAATCTTCTCGAATTAGGGCTCCCGGGAAGACTACAGGCACCTCTAGATGTGCTGATGGTCTATTCGACGAGGATATGGACGTTCAAGACGGACTTCCGCCTTGTCATGGTCCGAAGTTGCATCCCTCTGCAGTCTGCACTCGCCAACGCATCGATCACCTGTAAAGATATGCTCGATGACCACTTGGAACCATATTCGGGCCACTCTGAGATCACGGCACATGTTTTCAAGGTTGAGATCGAGTCTGACCACTACGCTTTGAAGGTGGTAAGTAGTGGTGAGGAGCCGTGGCAGCTCGAGAGGTTAACTATGCCTTAGTTTATGCCGTACGATATTTCGTATGACTACCACCAATTTTACACTGCGGGTATCCGCTGCACTGAAGAAGAGTTGGAATGGCATGTTATGCCCTTTTACTCAGAATGCCGCGCATACAGTCGCATCAAGCAGGCGCAAGACAGGCGATTACTGCCGCATCAAGTTGCAGTTCCATGCCATGGCTATATCCGCTTGGAGGAAAAAGACATCCGAAAACTGGAGGATGAGTGGAACCTTGATTTCAGTGTTGAACAGGGCAACGCCTTAAAAGCACCAATCCGTCCGATCTGTGCCATTGTTAAAGATCTTGCAAGTGCAAGTTCCGGGGTCAATGCCAAAAGCTTGTTGCGCAAACTACGAGATTTATCATCTTTACACTCGATCGGGATATTTGTCCGTGACATCAAGTGGATGTCACAGGTCCGGCTTTGGTGGGCGGTCAGCGGATTACCCCGCAGATTACCGCCGATTACCCGCTTGCCCTTGACATCACCTCTGCCGGGTTGATGTCATCTTCGGAGCGCCATAAAGCGCGAAAGCCGGGACCGACGACGACAAAACCAGTTCGACTGGATAGCCTGCGTTTGTGCGATCAGAATGCACCCTGTCTAAGGTCCTACATCCTGTCGGTTGCGAGGTTGCGGTGATTTGAAGCATTTTCTAGCCTTGACGCGCTGGAGCTACAGCGGCGCTTAGCGGATGCATACCCTGTCTACAGGCCACTACCGCTGACTGTAGCGACGCAGCCCCTGACGGCCTGGGGGCACTTTCGCCGCCAAGGTCCTCGTCATTCTATCAGACGGGTGTTCAAAATCACTGCGCCATCGACTTTTCGCTACCACCGACGTTGAATTGCCCGACGCACGTTTGTGTCCCTTTTTCGCCTTGCCTGTCCTTTCGGATGGCCTTGAACAACTTATCCAAAGAGCTGGGTCCACGTTCTTCGTCCATTTGCCTCGCCACGATATCTTCAGTTAAGCCGTCCGACTGGGCCCGCCTCCGAACCTCATCGACGATGATCTTGCGCGTGGAAAAGTAATTCTTCTCTGCAGATGGCCGCCATCGAGCACCCCAGTCTCGCTCAAGAGAATCCACAGAAGGCATTTCGCCCCAGCCCTGCCGCCAGAGACGCAGCAGCTCCTGTACAGATTTGACAGAACGGGGAGCTTGAAGCTCGGAGGTTCGCGCGGCCCAGGCGGCTCGCCATGCGCTCTTCCCTGGGGCTTGCCCTGGCCCGCTTGCACCATTCCCTGCTGCTGCTCTAGAGAGCGGAGCGTATGTCGGACCGCCCGCTTGCGAAGGGCCTATCTCGGACCTGAGGACCGTCTCTCGTGGAGCGCGGCGCCTCTGTTGATGAGCTCCCGCGATCTCCGCATGTTGACCTGCAGCACCTTGGCCGGGGCTGAAGGTGACGGTGTAGGTGGCCTGCGCAAACTCATCCAACTTTGTGCATAGTTCGTAAGAAGCCCCAAAGGTCTAGATGTCTTCGCTCAGCTAACTGCTCGGCTGCGACCTGTTGAGTCAGTACTGTGCGCAGCTTCTCCGCAACCACCGGGATCGCTTTTGAATGACCGTGGTATGGCTGTCTTCGTGGTCCCGTGTGCATGTGTCTTGAACTTTGCTGGCGAACGCTTCAAACTCGGGGCAAGAGAAGACCGGATCCTGAAAGATAGGATGGTCGGGGTAGGACTCGCGAAGGAAGACAGCGTCCTGCAGGAGCACCTCTCGAAGCCACTCCAGGAGTTCCAAGAAGGCGCCGGCGGCCATGTTCTGCTCCACCCCCAGATCTGAGAAAGGGCTACTGTGGGCCTCTTTCCATTTGTCGAGTTGAGGCCAGACCTGCACGAGTAGCACCACAGGCGGCCTCACGGTGGCCCGGGCACGAAATAAGACCCCGACCATTCAGGGTCAAAGTCGGCCACGGCCCTCATGAATTCGAAAGGCAGGAAGTCAGATAGCAGCCGGTCATTTGGTCTCCGTTATTCCAACGACCGGCTCGGCGGATCTGTATAGTTCGGGTCAGCCCAGGCCAGGGGGTTGGCGGCTTGCCTAGGGCAGATGACATGCCTGGCCTTCATCCACTCCGGCCATGTCGGCGTTTTGCGTCGCCGCCACTCTAGGCGCGTGGCTGACCTTGGAGACCTTGATGCCGGCCTTCTTGTAGAACCTGGACGTCCATTCTCGGGCAGTCTGGCCCGACAACGGAGCTGTATATTCGGTGAGTGAAAGGGTCGATGCACCCTCTGAGTTATGGGATTCCGGTGAATGCCATCACGCTTACCTTGAGGCTCCTTCGCCGATCGGCGGAGCACCTTCGTTTCATACCAGTCTTCGCTTCTTTGGAAGACGGGAAACCTTTCCGCCTTTTCTACCTGCCAGCGCCAGAAAAGCCAGAACGCGAGGGCGCCGATGAGACAAGATCGCGGATCTCGATGCCGCAGAGCAGATCCATACTCCATGCGGCCGTGCTGGTTGGTCTTCCCACAGTTCATCACGACAACCAGCGCCTTTGTGGTATACCCTGGGCCTTGAAGCCCTCGTTGGGTAAGTCCAGGGAAAGCAGTCTGCCAACTCCATCGGCAGGCGGTTGCCGGACCGCAGCAGCATGTGGTTCCCGAGCAGAAAGTCCACCTGCGTCCTCAGGGCGCAGGCGATCTCTCCTCTCGGACCATGCCACGTTGGTGTGGTCGGGTATCTGCGCCGGCGCATACACATCTCTCAGAGTTCCAACTCCCTGTCCATGTATTCCTTCCTCTTCCGGCTCCAAGTCGTTGCAAGAATGCTGCGTTTGAGCGCCTTCAGTGCCACTCCTGTGGCCGGGCCGCAGGATTGACTCCCGGCTCTTCTGCTCGTCGTAAAGCTTCTGTATGGCCGAGACGTAGCCCCGTACAGTATTATACTGTAGTTTGAGCGTGGACTCATACAACTCCAAGTCGGAGTCTGACTCGTATTCGCTACCTCCGCCGCCTACAACGATGGTATCTGCTGGGGAAGCTGGGTGTTAGTATGATGGGCTGGCTCAGTCCGACGACCACATCCCGTGATCAACATCTGTTACCTGATGGTGCTCTGCGTCTTTCACGGCCCTCTTGGCTTCCTGAGCCTCGAGGTGTCGTTTTCTTTCATCGGCGACCCTCTTTCCTTTCTTTGGAGGACGTGATGCCACTACCTCCTTCATGAAGAGCAAGAGCTTTCCTTCATCGACCAGGTCTCCCGGTAGCTGTTGGCCCTGTGGTACCGAGGCCGGCCAAACGTCCGGGATCGCAGGCCAGTTGGCTTGACACCACTCCTGTGAGGCAGTCAATGCATGGATCTACATGAAGATTGCAGGGCGCGCATGCGGGCTTGCCTTCCATTCTTCCTGCTTGGGACGATAATTTCGCTTCGTATTCTTCGGCTGGGTGTTCTCCAGATCTAACAGGTAGTGCTCAATGGCCGCCCTGACCCGGGGATCCTCTATCGCGTTTGACATGGTGCAGGCGGTCGCCGTCGCGACGGTGGCAATGGAGGAGGTGGTGGAGGAGGTGAGGAGGGAGGTGGAGCGCAACGCGCGTGAGCGAGACCGAAATCGAAGGTCTCGCGCAGGGCCCGCGGGCGTGGACCTTCGATTTTGCCGTCCGATGGCGGTAATCCGACTAAGAAAACGCCAGCCCCGCAGGGCCGGGCCTTCGAAAACGACATGGTTTTGCATGGGGCGGGGCGGTAATCCGATTACCGGATGACCGGTCAGCCGGCCCCGGGACCTGTGACACCAACCACGGCCGGGGCCGTGGTGGCAGTGGTGGTCGTCGCGGCCGTAACTTGGAAGTTGAAACCATTCGAAAAAAGGGACGACTGGGCTACCGCAAGACGTTCTTCGGTGGCTCGAAGCTGCTCGCTTAGCTCTGTTTTAAGCTGGATCGTCCTTGCTTCGTTCCGCGCGTCGATGGATTTAAGATAGTCCGCGAGGACCGGCATCGCCTGGACTAGGACTGCAAGCTGGCTTGGACGCTCCTCTTCAAGGACGAAGTCCGATAGCTGGTGCGCGAACGGGGCGTAGGCCGGATGCCGGAAGACCGGGTGGTTCCAAACGGGGCTGCCGGGTATTTCTTCATCAGGACAACGGAATCCTGCAAGACAACCTCCCGTAAATAGAAGATGAGGTTCGTCGAACCCATCGCTGCCAGGTCGTTCTCCTGCTCGGTACCGGGACCGAACCGGCCTCGCCAACGGTCCAGCTCGGGCCAGATCATCGAGAGCAGGACCTCCGGCGGCGTCACGCCGGCACGGCGTATCTCGAAGCATCCGGCCTGCGGCGGGTGCCCGGCCATCGTACGCATGAACTTGCGAGGCAACGAGTTCAGGTAACAGCCGACCATCTGCTCCTGGTTCCAACGACCCGCGCGACGGATCTGGTCTTCGCTAATCCCCTTTAGTTCAGCCGTCCTCGCCCCCGAGCTGCGGCCGACATGCGTCTTCTTCTGCGACGTGACGCCGGCGTAGGCGAAGGCCTTGACAACCCACTCGCGCTGTGAGTTGTACGAGAAAGCCGCCGTCCGGCCGGTGCCGTTACCCTTGATTAGCCGGATGTCGTACCACGAGGACCGCCTGCTGAAATCGGGAAACGGCTCACTACCGAGATCCCAACGATACAAGAGGTAGAACGAGAGGCCACCCAAGATGCAGATTAGCGGGTTCCTATTCCGATACGCGCCGGCGGTCTCGAGGCGGCCGTGCTGGTTCTGCTTGCCGGCTCGTGTCGTAAAGATGAGCGGCATGCACCGGGTCGAGCCCTCCCCGGCAAACTCAAAGGTGAATAGGTCTGAGATCTCTGCAGCCCGACGATCGCCGCCACGGGTGAGAAGATAATGGCCAAAGAGGAGATCCACGAGGGTCCGAAAATGACACTCGGGCGATGTGCCGCTGTGGGCCCACAGCTCGTGGCATACTCGTTCGAACTCGGACTCGAGTAACCATCGAGCAGAGTATCGCGGCCTTTATCGGCATAGTTCTCCCTGTCTCGTTGGGCGTCCCGGCGCTGTAGGGACTTGAGGTACTCTCGTACGTTGTCCTCGCGCGGCGACGGGTGCGTATTCATTCCGAGGGCCTTCTGCGTCCGGTAAAGATCCGTGATTGCGGTGACATAAGTTCGGACCGACCGCCAGGCCAGGCGGGTCTCGTCCTGCGGAGTATCAGTGGCGGCCTTGCGGCTCCTGACCTTCAAGGGCCGACCGGCCACCTCCTCGACGAGGAAGAGGAGGAGCTTCTCCTCTGTGACCGTAGCGCCGTCACAGTACTGTTTGTGGCGGCAGAATTGCTCGAATTCCTCTTGCTTCGGTGCGTACGCCGAGGTCGTATTCCTTGGCCGAGACTCGTGGATCGCAGAGAGGATCGTCTGCGCATTGGCGCGTAGCTCCGCGTCGTTTATCGCGTTCTGCCGGATGCGTTGGTCCACTCGTACGCTCGACGGCTTTGCGCCTCCTGCCCCTGCCCCGGCCGCTGCTCCTGCGAGCTTCGGCTTGGGCCCCGCTTTGTCTTCGCCTTCCGTCGATTTGGCGTCCGGGCCATGGGATATATCGTGACGGGAAGACCAAGGCAAGCCTGCGAGTGACCACCAGTCCGGGTTGGAGCGGGGTGGCGCGCGGCGACGAGAGATGCCCTATCTAGCGATCACGATGCGCACCGCCTGGTCGGGTCGCCCGCTAAAATTCCAGTGGACAGGGCGCCGTAGCGAACGTGAATAGCGGCTTCTCCATCGAATCAGCGACGCAATCAGCGGGGCACCGATATCTGCGTATATCCACGGCGCGCGCCGTTCGGGTGGGGTGGATATCCGCAGATACGATTGGCCCGCCTGGTCGCTGATTCTCGGATTGCCCCACCCGACCAGATCAGCGGCGCTCAGCAAACCCTCGGATACCAAATGATTCACTATGTAATCATCTAAATAAGTTTAGAGATACCTGGTTATTATTAAATCCTATTTCAAAAAAGCCAATAATAGCTAATATTGTTGTTAATATTATACATAGACAACTTAATAAACGACTACCTGTCACACCAACTTTTCTACCAAAAAAGCCGGAAACTATACACCCTAGTAATGGTAACACAATTATACTTAAATAACTTTGTTGCGATTGAACTTGCTTCTATTCAATTCTGTCTGACAGCTCTCAACATATATATACATAGTGGCACGTCCGTGCCACTATCCAGTGACTCACCACTTGTAAGTGCTGCCTAAACATGTCTTGGTCCATGTCTCATACCAAGTCAACACTCCCCTAGAGCTGTCAGACTTCAACTAATACAATGGCAACGCTATTCATAGCGTACGGGTCCAATTCCAATCCTCCTCCTGTTCCTCTCGAAAGCCTCCCTAGGCAGAGGCTTGGTCATCCCATCTGCTAGCATATTCTCCCCTGGAACCCAGTACACTTGGATTCTCCCTTCCTTGACCTCATCAACGACGTGATGAAATGCTATATCAACATGCTTGATTTTCGACGTGTTCGATACTCCTCGGGTCAGCTGTACAGCTCCCTTATTATCTCCAAGCAGTAATGGCACTGTTTGCTCCCCTTTCCTTCCAGTTCTGCAAGTAGTCGACGTCCCCAGAGGGCAGCTTTGTGGCCTCCCCATCCCAACATACTCTGCTTCTGTCGTAGATCTTGCCACTGATTTCATCTTCTTGCTATACGTCATGACGGCGCCTCCGTAGACCATAAAGACGAACCCCAGGATACTCTTCCGGTCCCTTGGATCAGTAGCGTAGTCGGTGTCAGAGAACGCTTCCCCATCTTGTAGGCCTGCAGAGCCGACGTGCCCTTCGATGTTGTGGTCAATGGAATAATAGTCGATATCGCTGCCTTCGACTCCTTGTGCGTGCTCATTATTTCCGCCATATGTGATACCGTGGTGAATAGTCCTGCTGACATAACCCAATATTCGTAGCAAAGCCTTCCAGTGGTTCCAGCATGCCTCTACCGTGAAAGATGCCATTCTGTTAACTGCGAATATAATGTCGAACCTCGTATTGCATAGCCAAATCAGCTTTCCGAGCAATTCCACGTATTTCAACCATTCGTCATGGTTCAGAGGTCGTCCGGTTCCTCAACGAGCTTCCGTATAGCTCCAGGTTCCATGGGGTTGCGTGCTTCATTGAGTCGTCGTAGAAATTCTGCCACGGTTTCCTTCGCAAATTGTGATTGATCAATCATCAGCTTTCCATTGTGCCTTTGAATCCGAATTCCGAGAATGTTCTCTGCTTCTCCGAGGTCTTTCATCTCAAATCTTCCCTTCAGCTTTTCCTTGACCCGTTCAATGGCAACCTCGTCCCCCCCTGTAATCATAAAGTCATCCACGTGCACGCCGATGATTACCCCCGACTCTGTATGTCTGAATATTGTCGGATCCACTGTCATCGGTGAGAAACCAATCTCCTTGAGATATTCTGATATTAGCAAATACCACATCCTTGCTGCTTGCTTCAATCCGTACAAACTCTTCAGGATCTGAACGTATTTCCCGAAATATTGCTGGAGCTCAGTTGGCACTTTCATGAAGATCCTTTCCTTTAGGTCTGCTGCAAGGAACGCAGCCACAGCATCCATCTGGTATACCTTCCAGCCTTTCTTCGCCGCTAAAGCTAGAATGATCCTCATCGCATCGAGCCGGATCGTGGGTGCGAAGGTTTCCTCGTAATTGATCCCGTGTTTCTGTGTGAACCCTCTCGCGACTAGACGTGCTTTATACCGTAGTATCTTCCTTCTTTGTCTTTCTTGTGATCAAACACAAGCTTGGCATCAACTACTTCTTCTCCGTGCACGTCAACTTCGTTGATTTCCTCCGAGAATGTCTGTCGTCGAATGAGATTCTGAACTTCCTCATCTATAGCTCCTACCCATTGATCCTTCTCACTGCCTTCCATCGCCTGTCGGAAGGTAAGCTTTTCGGTCGAAGTCGTACAGGTCTGTATTAGGCTGGAGAAGCGTCCTTGCTACCATGGCTCTTTCCTTCCTGCCACTCTCCCTCGCTTCTTCAGACGTTCTGCCATGCGCTGTTCTTCTCTTTGCCGCCATTCCAGCTCTGCTCGCTGCTTCTCTGCTCTTTTGAGTGCCACGGCCTCTCGTCGAATCTGGGATCTTGTTTTCGGCAGACTCCTTTCAGGAGAGGTTATATCCGCCTCCTGTATTGACAATGATTGTGTCTCCTTGGAGCTCTTCCTCCGAATCTGCAGTGTCTTGGTCGGTCGGGTTCCCATCCGCTGCTTCTCCGGCATCCTCCCAGCTTCTGTAGCTTCCTGGTCCGTAGTCCTATCCCCGACCGAATCTTCGGCATCAGAGTCATCATCAGTGAGCTCCTTGCTCCTTTTTCTCTTCCTTCTCATCGTCATACTGCGATTGTGATTCTTGGCTGATTTCATTGTCCATATACTTGCTCTCATCGAATTCCACGAATCGAACCTCGTGGACCTTCTTATCAGCTGGGTTCCAGACTAGATAGATTTTATCTGTCTCCTCTTTGTATCCAACAAAACTCCTTGCCATGCTCTTTTCAGAAGCTTTGTTCTCTTTTCTTTGGGAATAAATACCCAGGCAGGACATCCGAACACTCTCAAGTGCCCTGATCTTGGCTTCTCTCCACGCCATAACTCCCATGGGCTTTTAGCCATTCCTTGACAACTCCCTATTTCTCAGATAGGCCGCTGTTGCATTCGAAAACTCCCAGTATGCTGCCGGGAGGTCCATTTCGTGACGCATAGCAGACCCCCTCTCTGATATGGTTCTCATGCTCCTCTCAGAGATACTATTCCCCTCCGGGTGGTAGCCCACTGTTGGTTCGATCCGAATAGTTCTTCCCGTGCAAAATACCTTCATTGCCTCGTTTAGAAATTCCTTTCCGCGATCAAAGCGCATCGCCTTGACCTTTTCGCCTTTTCCGTACTCGCGACACTCTGCCTCTGCAACAACTACCCAGGCTTTGATCTTGTCGGTAATTCTCGTTTTGTCTCTAGAGAAATAAACCCAAACTCGCCCGGTAGCCTGATCGGTGATTGTCAGCATGTACTTCATTCCTTGAAGTGATAGCTCAACTGGCCCCCAAAGATCTATATGGACTCTCTCTAGCTTTTCTGTCACCGCAGACATTGGCTCCCTTGAGACCTTTCTTGTCATTTTGGCCTCGGTGCAGCTTGAGCAGAATGACGGGCAGAATGAGTTGTCTCCGAGATCATCCATTACGGCGTTCAGTTTGCCCTCCATATGCTTTCCAGGGTGTCCCAGCCTAGCATGTAGTAGTCTTTCAGGCATCTTCAGGATTGACTTCAGCGCTACCCCGTTATCGCCATCCTTTCTTGGATTGTATGGGCTCGGTGCCCTCTTGTCTGGCTCAAGCGCCACACCTTTTATGTCTGTGGCCAAACAGCACCTCCTCCTGATTTCTTGTCACCGTGACTGTCTTCCCGGAGAGTCCACGACAATACATGCTCCCCTGTCTTCCAGTTCACCGACTGATAGCAGGCTGCTCGTCGCCTCCGGGATGTAGTGCACCCCGTACTATTGTCGACCTTGCTCTTCCTTTCTGTGAGACGTAAAAGATCCTCATCTCCTTTCCCTCTTGAACGAACCTCGGGCCGCCTGCAATCTCAACACTTGTCTTTGTAGGGGACAACTTTGAGATAAATTGGTCTTCCCTTGGGGTGATATGGACGGAAGCACAGCTGTCGAGATACCATTGTGGAGGGCTGTTACTTTTGTGTTCGGAAGCAAGTAGGTAGATCTCTCAGATTCACTACCACTGTCTTCAAGGATCCTGACCGCGTTTGCCTTTTCTTTGCTATCCATGGCCTCTCTCGCCTTCGCTTTTTCAGAGGCTAGCCAGGTCTTCCCTGCTTTGTTCGATATCGCGTATCGCTTAACGAGGGACTGATAAATTGCTCGTGGATCGGTGAGATGGTTGACTGAGTTCTTGTGGATCTGGTCAATACTCTGTCGTATTTTCATTCTCGCAAGAGAGACATTTTTAATGTCCGCAGCATTCTCTCCTGGCATTGATAAATCTGACGATTCCGCTGTTGCCATACCGGTGACGCAGCTCATAAGATCGTCACTCAACAAGTTATCTTCAAGATCCATCTTCCAGCTGTCAAAGGAGTCTCTTCCATCAAGGATGGTTCCTTTGTAGTCTTTCTTGCCCATAGTGCCGGGTCTTTGCTGTCAACCGTCGATTCTTGACGAAAAAGTGTTCTCATATGCCGAGTTCAATCGTGCAGTGGAAGCAAAATAAAAGCAACCGGGTGCATAACCTGTTGCGATTGAACTTGCTTCTATTCAATTCTGTCTGACAGCTCTCAACATATATAGGCCCAAGTTATCTATCCACCCACTTTCATTAACTGTACACCCAAAAAGTGGATTAACTGTGGCTGACGGCCGAAGAGGGCCGATACCGCCAATTTGTATGCACACATTCTCTACGATAAGTAGAGCCAGGTAGTAACAGTTCTCCTTCAACGATAAGGCACCCAAAATTGAAGCTATTCGTACTGCGCTTTCTATGCTGATGAGACTATTCTTTGGTGTTTACAACAGGCCTCCTTCTTCGAGTGCACTACGTGCCTGATCCGCTTCATCTAACTGTGATTCCAATTGATCCCATACATCCTCAAGGGCGGCATCGTCCGTGAGGCCGGCGACGAAGATGCAGTCTTGGGTCTCCCGCCGTACCGGCTGATCGTCATCATCAGAGACTGGCGTTTGACGCCCGGCTTGTTGATACGCCCGTTGCATCCGTGTGCCTGCCTCGTACGTATCGCCGTTTTCCTCGATGTGCCGCAGCCCTCGTTCCGTTGAAGTCATCGCGGCCGTTACCGTACCCGTCATCGCCGCTGGTGCCGTTGAGGAAGGAGGCAGTCGTATATCCTCAGCCCGATCATGCCGTACAGCGATCTCGTGATGTGACGGATCCCGCCGCGTTGATCTTGACCGCCGTGACTCTTCGAGGTTGAGTGAGCCCTGGGGCGGCCCTTAGCCCTGATAACTTGTGGCTCGTATGGTGCCCGAGTAGGGCTTGTGCCCTGAGCGCTTGTATCGATCGGAATATACCAAAATGGGTCGAAGTCGTCGAGTGTAAGGGAGGTATTGGTGTTGATAGACTCGAAGATTCGATGGCAGCACGGTAGCCCTCGACTAGTAGCCCAATTACAAGGACATTGACCTGGCGGCGGTTTGGCCCGTTGACTTCGGGGTCTAGAGGATCTTGCGATGCTCATCTATTAGTAGCTTTAACGCATATGACGATACTCGCTCGCGGATCGGCATATACGGCGCCTGTAGGGAGAACGTTGATATCTTGTGGAGGTTTCGATTCTCTATCGCTGTGATCTGAGCAGCCTGATGGCCCCAGAAGCGTTCGAATCGTTGGAAAACGGTCGTCAAATCGCCCGTACAGGACCAAAGGAACTTCTTCATATGAGAGTGAAGTCCTCGACGATCGAGGTCGTTGTACGCCCGAAGTGGCGATATTGATTAACGAAACAAGATACAAACTTCTCCTTCCAAGGCGTTAGCCACGTATTGCAACAGTATTGTATAGCTGCAAGCGGGTGGCGGCCTGGTGTCTCAAATTGGCGTAAACGTTCGTTGAAGCTATTCACATCTTGTGACTTGACGATCTCGTTCCACTCTTGTAGAAACGCTTGGAATGCCGGGGCCCGTACGACTCGATTGCCGATTTTTGATGCCTTAGGGAAAAATTGCTTGCATTTCGCAACGACATTCTGGTTAATATGCCACGTGCAGAGAAGGTTAGTACTGTTTTGAAGCTCGCGAAAGCTATCTAACGCCTTAAGCAACGCAGTATCTCGGTCCGTGACAGTGACCCTTGGAAATGGGATCGACTCCTTCTCGCAAAGGACTAGCAGCAACGAGATAGCCCAATAGTAATGGGACTCGGTCTCGCCGTTCAAGAAGATAGAGGCAATAGAGAACGTTTTGTTATCTCGAGTGGCCGCGCAGATATTCAATAACGGCATATTGAATCGGTTCGTCTTGTAGGTACAGTCGAGGACGAGGACATCGTGATGCTGACGCCATCGATGGAAGGTAGCACGAGGCGCGAGAAATAGCCCAGTTAGCCGGCCCTGGGGATCACGACTATCTCGATGAAAGAAGTCGGACTTATCTAGCCGGTCGTAGAGAAACTGAAGAGGCGTACGGCCAGCTAGTTCTTCCTGACGGTGCCTAGCCAAGGCGTTACTCACGTCTTGAGCCGTGATACCGGCTAAACGAGGATCGTCGTGAACCAGGTCACGAAGCTCGCCAGCAATATCGGTCGGCCGGGTATTGTTATTAAACTTCCGGATAATGTCGTCGCGATACTTCTGGATAACAAGCGCCCGGTACTTCGGAAAGACCATCGGGTCATCAACAAGGCGATGATTGTGAACATCGTGAAGATAAGAGATAGTCCAGTAACCGCGTTTTTCCTTCAACGAGAGGCGAAATTCACAGTCTGTTTTCTGGGTTGCTGTATTGAGGCGACGACGAGAGATATGAGCAGCTTTATCCTTCCGATTTTCGTAGGGGCCGGCCTTGATACAACGAACAAGTGC